TCTGAAGAGTAACACGTTACTGAGGTTCGTGGCCAAAATAGCACAGAGGTGCCACATCTCCCTGTCAGGCGGGAGATGTCCTGATTGACGGTGACGATGTCTTTACAAACATACATGATGATTGTACATCACCCTATCTCCCGAACAGTATCGAAAACCTTCCTACTTGGGACAGACTAGTGTTTCGACAAGTATCTACTCTTTCCCTGTGCACGGTCAATTGTGCTTACAAGATACAAGTTGCATGGCAGGGAGTAATAAAATACCTTCCTCCTTGTTATAATACATGTACATGCAGGTTTTTTTACTATGTTCATATTCCCAGCTCGAAGAAAGACACTGAGACTATAGGACAAACGTGACAACTACTGAGCAGGGGCTGCACCGAGACTCAGCAGTGATGGTGAGGCATTGATGGCTCTGCCGACCTGAGGTCTCGGCATCACCGCCAAAAACACGCACCAAAAAACAAAAGATATAACTGCGAGTGTGCAGGAGAAACTGTGAGACTATGAACAATTACAGGGGTTGTGACTGAGAGGAGCATCATCATGGGTGATCATGGCGAGTCGATTGTCCGAGCCAGTTGTGGTGCGTAGATAGGGATAGACGAGAGCAGCATCATTCATAGCAAGTCGACTGCCAAGAGCCAGTTTGTGCTTCGCAGATGGCGACAAACGTTCGTTTTAACATGTTTGCATTCCCTTGCTGTGGGGAGACTGGGACAGAAGAGCGGCGGGGAGGGAGTTCCAGTCACTATGTTGTTGTTGTTGTTGTTGTTGTTGTTGTTGTTGTTGTTGTTGTTGTTGTTGTTGTTGTTGTTGTTGTTGTTGTTGTTGTTGTTGTTGTTGTTGTTGTTGTTGTTGTTGTTGTTGTTGTTGTTGTTGTTGTTGTTGTTGTTGTTGTTAATGTTGTTGTTGTTGCTCTTGTTGTTGTTGTTGTTGTTGTTGCTGCTGCTGCTGTTGTTGTTGTTGTTGTTGTTGTTGTTGTTGTTGTTGTTGTTGTTGTTGTTGTTGTTGTTGTTGTTGTTGTTGTTGTTGTTGTTGTTGTTGTTGTTGTTGTTGTTGCTCTTGTTGTTGTTGTTGTTGCTGCTGCTGCTGCTGTTGTTGTTGTTGTTGACTATATTGTAGTTCTAAATCGCAAGGCAGATAAAGTGGTTGTTGACTATATTGTAGTTCTAAATCGCAAGGCAGATAAAGTGTGGTGTCTATCAACGAGCAGGGACCGCCATCACAAACCACGTTGGTTGGTACATATAGCTTGGTATGTAGTGACTTCGCACATTTGGCAATAAGGACCGGTGCTGGCGCCCATCAATTACATGGAAGTGACTTTGTGACAGAGTGCCAAAAATAGAGAAACCACAAACCTCAAGCGCACATTACTGCCTGGGGACACGGTAGAGGTGTCTGCAGTTGCAGCTGCGCTAGTGCTTGTTGTCAGCCAGTGCACACGGGGCCGGGGGTGAGGTACAGCCAGTAGACAATGCATGGGAAGGGCAACATACATCGTAGGTCTACATGACATTGTATTCCTAGTAATTTCCTACCCAATACTACTTACTAGTTCAAAACTAGTATTAGATAAACCTTGTTATCATGGTTATAGTTCACGCATATTGTTAGATTGACAGCATGAAACAAGGTGGAGGACACTGTGTTCGGAAACAGTGACCTTACTACAACCTTCCGCGGTTGGCAGAGCCCCGGTCCCTGCGGACCATTTGAACCATATGGGTGTCGCACCCGGTTCTGACCCTCATTATGCTAGGGTGGTAGGAGACTACTCCTGACGTCCGTCGTGTATTCTTTGATCGCTCCTGGATGTCGTCCTGGTAGTTATGTAGCTACTTAAACCTCAACTACTTTTCTTCCAACTTCTGACGAGCTGAGAGAAGGACGCCATGGGCAGAAGTTGGAAGAAAAGTAGTCGAGGTTTAAGTAGCTACATAACTACCAGGACGACATCCAGGAGCGATCAAAGAATACACGACGGACGTCAGGAGTAGTCTCCTACCACCCTAGCATAATGAGGGTCAGAACCGGGTGCGACACCCATATGGTTCAAATGGTCCGCAGGGACCGGGGCTCTGCCAACCACGGAAGGTTGTAGTAAGGTCACTGTTTCCGAACACAGTGTCCTCCACCTTGTTTCATGCTGTCAATCTAACAATAATATTATTGTACACGTGTAGCGGAAAAATGAGGGAGCCTGGGTGCAACGGGAGATGGTCGCCAGGGAGGGTTCAGAGAGCGCCTGTGAATGGATGAGCGCCAGTCTTGACTGCGAGGAAACTGGTGATTTCCTTGAAGGCCTCAGCGGCATGCCCTTCATTACGGTAAGCTGGCATGCAGGAGTGCATACATAGTAAGAACAAGGTCCTGCAGTATAACTATAAGTAGTGCAGTACCGTTGGGGGCAATACAATGTATATCTGCAGCAGTGAACAACAGCTTTCCTGAAAGGAAACTTGGGCTACCGTGACAGGGTTCTAGCCAAAGGGGGTCGCCGCTTATATATATATATGGTCAAGAACCGCATGGTTTTTTTAAAGAGTAATTGTTTGAAACCCCTAGCTACATTCAGCTAGCCTTCTAAGAAAAGAAATTTCCAGAGGGCATGACTTGTGCTGTTGATAAAAACTAGCGTCTCCATTATTTAGACCTATTTATTACTTCAAAAGTAATATTATTATTACTATCACTCACAGAGGCAATATGCTTTGGTTCTGCAAGAGTGCTCAATGCCTGATTCAGGCAGAGCGGCGTACACAAAGGCACACAATGAAAACCTTGGCAAATTTATTCCGTTGTGACTCAGAGTTTCATGGCTGAACCAATCATCAGACAACGATAATGGAATAGGAGGCAGCGCTGGTATATCTAAGTGGAGAGAGGTGTGATAATACGATAGCGAGAGGAGTAATCGCGTGAATGTACACAGCGACGGGCTATTTCAGAGGCAGATGCAGTAGGCGCAGGTCTAGCACTAACAAGTACGCGCTTAATCTCGCTCACACACCACACACACACATACTAACACGCACACACATAGTAACACCCACACACACATACACACATACACGCACACACTAACACACACATACACTCACCCACAACACCCTAACTTGCACACGGGCGCACGCACACACAGGACACCCACCCACCCACAACACCCTAACTCGCACACGCACAAACACACGCACACACGCATATACACACACCTATAGACACATGTCCACACGTATACACGTTGCAGGAGTTTGTGTGCGCTTAGATTTGTCATACGAACGCAGATGCCTGTGTATACGTGTGGACATGTGTCTATAGGTGTGTGTATATGCGTGTGTGCGTGTGTTTGTGCGTGTGCGAGTTAGGGTGTTGTGGGTGGGTGGGTGTCCTGTGTGTGCGTGCGCCCGTGTGCAAGTTAGGGTGTTGTGGGTGGGTGTATGTGTGTGTTAGTGTGTGCGTGTATGTGTGTATGTGTGTGTGGGTGTTACTATGTGTGTGCGTGTTAGTATGTGTGTGTGTGTGGTGTGTGAGCGACATTAAGCGCGTACTTGTTAGTGCTAGACCTGCGCCTACTGCATCTGCCTCTGAAATAGCCCGTCGCTGTGTACATTCACGCGATTACTCCTCTCGCTATCGTATTATCACACCTCTCTCCACTTAGATATACCAGCGCTGCCTCCATTCCACTTAGATATACCAGCGCTGCCTCCATTCCATTATCGTTGTCTGATGATTGGTTCAGCCATGAAACTCTGAGTCACAACGGAATAAATTTGCCAAGGTTTTCATTGTGTGCCTTTGTGTATTACTATCACTCAGCCTTTTCGCATTGACATTGCCAAGCAAGCTTTGCTACTGAGTCTTCGCTTCGGCCAAATCGAATAAAGAATGAGGAACGAGCGGGGTCCGACAATGCGATGCTAATACGCATGGAACTGCAGAATAGGCAACAAAGAAAAGTGTATAGCAAAACAGTCCTACGGTAAACACACACGAACCGTCAGCTACTAGTGCTTTGAAGTATTTCCTTCAACAAAATTTAATAAATATACGAAAACTGCTGAGTATGATACATGTACAGCTGGTTGACAAAAAGCAGCGGACATAATACGGTTAAACATAATTATTGTACAATTCTACTGATAGACTAGACTACAGCCAAGAACTACGAAGTCGAAATCTACACAACAAAAGGGAAGCATTGGGCACATGACATTTTCCAAAAGTTCATCAGAAACAGTACTTGCATGACATAATGGCAAACTGACGAACAAGGCAGACTCAAACACTCCAACGTTCTGCAGCTGTTGCGTTGCCGGTGTTGTGGTGGCAGTTCTGATCCTGAGGCCGTACATGTCGTGGATCTCGGCTAGCCGCTGCCAAACAGTCAGCGTAACCTTGGTCACACACTCGCTTCATCTCTATGCCCGCGTTGACGGAGCTCCGGGTGACCAACCTGAGCCGAACAGCTGCAAGTCGCGACTCCACACTGACCGTCAATGAGCTCCCATCCCTCGCTCTATTCTCTTCCTCACTCCATTTGATTAACCTGCTCACTCTCCCAAAGGAGGCGGAGGAGAAACGTTACTTCTCCAAATGAGCAATTTTAACCTATGGCAAAGTATAATCCTGGGGCCACCTCGGCATAAGAAATTCGAATGGAAGTATTCATCAAGCAGTCACATATAATTATGTGACCCATGAGTCACCATCGCTTCATCAGCACAACACTCTGCCATTGCATTTAGTCTATTCCTCACTGAATGGACTCAATCCAGCTCTTTTCGTACTGAACCACTAAAACAATTTAATCTTGAAAGACCTGGTGATTGAGTATGCTAGAATGAACTAGTGAATACAGTTGCATTTAGTCACATCCAGTTGCATTACATCATTAAGGGGCTTTGTCCTGGTATGCAAGGCCCATCAGTGAATGATCATATCCGTTTCATCGAAGTATATCAGTGGTCAAGACGACTGAAAGTGGCCAGTTGCATCAACTCATGAAGACAGTTAGGGTCACATACACGGCGGCTCAGTCTCGTTGGTTTGTCTCCTCCGTTGCAGTCATGATGATACCTAGAGGGTGTCAAGCATCGGGATAGCTTTTCGCTCCTGTGTTTGAAAGAGAGAAACGAGAATGAAACCATGAACCCATACTCATTGGTTTGACCGGGGAAGCAGTTGCCCATTTGTTTTTAGTATAGTTAGCATCAAAAGTACCTCACATACTATATTCATACTGTTGTGTATCGTGTCGGAGAAAGGTCTTCTGGGGTGTCGTCGAGATCTCGTTGCGACCGTGACTCCTGCTTGTCTCCCTGGCTAGGTGCTGCTTGCTTTGCTTTTCTGCGTAGTGTTTTTGATTATTGTTTACTATTGCGTATTGTTAGTGTTCGTTGTGATTTGGTACAGTACTTGTTACGAGATACGACACATTGTGTAGTGTGTGTTTGCAGCACGAAGAAGACTGCTCACCAGAACGGTTAGCTCAGGAGCTTGGGCTTACCTTGTGCAATCACAGGTCATCAGCTTGGACATTGCGCTTGGTCCCATGCGAATAACCGACTAGAATAGTAATTATTTCTTCGTTGCATTTTTGAATTGTGTTCTTGCTAGCTCGTTGATTTATTTCGTTGATGTGTTGATTTGTGTTTGATTACTTATTTATTTGATGCGCGATTTATGTGCGCTGATTGCGTGATGGCATGCAATTATGATCATGCTTGCGCCAGCTAGCTAGATGCCTGCGCCGCGCACTGATGTTGAATGAGTTAGCATGCGCCCCGCGCTGTTCATGCATATATGGTACATGGTGTGTAATGTTTGCCGCACACGCGTATAGGTGCCGCGCCTCGTACTGCTCATGTGCCTCGCGCCGTACTATTGCTGTCGCTTTGCCAAATTTAGCTTCCGCTTTCTGAGCGCTGTACGCTCTTCTGTACGCTCATGCCAAAGGTGGACACACGTTGTGGCTGGCCAGCGCTTTACCCCTCATGCGTTGTTCTTTTCCTTGATGCTGTGGTTTGTTTTTCTTTAGTGTTCTAGAGTTCTCTTTCCGATGTAGTTCGTATTTTTCCAGTCTCTTCTTCTCAATGTATTCTACTGTTCGTTCATTATAGTCCGTAAAGAATTACGTGACCTTTTGTCTTGTGGCGTCTGTGCGATCCTGAAACTTTTGAGGTGTTAGTAGTGAACACAACATTTTGGCGACCACGCCAGGATCGAGACGCGTGAACATGGATGAGGTAGAAGCGAAGCTGATCGCAAATGGTCAAGCTTATGGCTACACTGGAGAGGCATTGCGTACTTACGTAGAGGAGCGTATCGAGAAGCACGAGGAGAAAGTGCGTGCAGACAGAGAGCGCGAAGAACGAGCAGGAAGTAGATTGGAAAGGAAAGATGACGAGCAGCTGCTTGCGAGGATTGCAGATTTGGAGTTGCAAGTCCAGCACACACGAGAGACTCAGAGTGATGAGAGCACTTTGTTGAATACGACGAATGGCAGTTTAGCGAGCAAGAGGGCTGCCATCAAGATGCCGAAGTTCGACGGTAAGCAGACTGTTGAGACCTATCTCGAACTGTTCGAGGATGTGGCAAAGCAAAACGAGTTCAGCGACGACGAGTACCTGATCCGCTTGCGCGTGGCTGTTGCTGGCAGCAAGTTGGAAGGTGCATGCTATGGCTGCAACACCTTTGCCGAAGCGAAGCGCGAGCTGCTGATGGCGCATGGGAAGACCGCCGACAAAGCGTGGCAAGCCCTGATGGCCATACAGCAGAAAAGTGAGGAGAGTTTCTACCAGTTTGTGGTACGAGTGACGCGCGAGACGGAGAAGTGGGCAAAACTCGCCAGGCCTAGCCGTACCTCTAGCCGCGGACAAATCGGTGAGCTGGACGACACTGAATTGTTCGGATGTGTCGTACGTCAAGTCCTGCTAGAAGCTGTGTCGGCAGAAACTAAGGCCTTCTTGATCGAGAAGAGATGTTACACGAAGGACTTGAAGGCGTTTGCGGAGGATGGTATGGCTTACCAAACAGCCCACGGACGTAGCAAGCTGAAGCCTGCCAAGTCTAGCACCAGCGACAAACGTATACCGTTTGCGTCGGCAGAGTGTTTGACGGTCAGCGTTGATGAGGCTAACAAGAAATTGTCAGCTATGGCGTCTGAGCACCGAAACGCGTACGTCAAGGCAGAGGGACTGTGTTTCAACTGCCTGAGACCAGGACATCGAGTGATGAATTGTCAGAACAAGGGTCGTTGCAAGCACTGCAACAAGCGACACCACAGTCTACTGCACAGAGAGGACAAACAGGTAACATCCGAACCGATAGCCGAATCGAAAGTCGGTACGTATGAATGTAGTGCAAACAGCGTGCACTTGATGACCGGCGTGGCTGAGGTACAAGGACCTAGCCGAAAGGCCAGTGTACGCATATTCATCGACCCAGGTGCGCAGGCATCGTTCATCACCGCGCCACTGGTGAACTCGCTGCAACCGGCACACCTTGGATCGCAAACTGTCAGGCTGAAGGCGTTTGACGTGGAGCCGAAGTTTGAAAAGATGGACAGGTACCGTGTCACCATCAAGGGTGCAACGAAGTCCATTTCCGTCAATGCCTGGCAAAAGAAGTCGCTAGGTCTCCGATTCGATCCGCTAGCAGACAGCACAATTGCACGTTGGCAGTCACAGGGATTGCAGCTGTCTGATGACTCGACAAAGGCCGGATCAAGCGAAGTGCACATGCTGATTGGAGCTGACTACTGCAATGAGTTCCTTCTCCGCAAGGAGCAAATCAATGGAGAGACGGCCTGGCACACTGAAATAGGCTGGGTGCTGTCAGGACCGGCTAATAGTGAAACCAAGTCAGCGACCGTCAGTGTGAGTTGTATTGAACTTGACCGACTGTGGAAGATGGAAGAGGTGCCGGAAATAGCTGAGACGTTACCGGACTTCCCGATAGAGCGGCAAGGCCCTCATTACCAAGTGGGATTGCTATGGCGATCTGAGAAGCGTCCGCCAGCCAACCTAAACCAAGCGATGGCAGCGGCACACTCACTGCTGAAGCAGCTACAGAGACGAGGTCAACGTCTAGCGTATGATGACGTCCTCATCACTGAGTACTTGAAGCTGGATGCCATTGAAAAGGAACCGCATCCGGAGGAAGCCGGCTATTACATGCCGCATCATGCCGTATTCCGTAGCGACGCCTCAACGACGAAGACACGGGTCGTCTTCAATGCATCCGCCGCCTGCACCGGAGCACCATCCCTAAACGACATGGTCGATCCCGGGCCATCACTCCTACCGGATCTCACTGGTATCCTCCTCAGGTTCCGTGAGTATGAATGTGCTGTACAAGCCGATATTCGCAAGGCTTTTTTTATGATCGGAATGCGTGAAGAAGATAGGCCATATCTGCGTTTTGTTTGGCCTGAGATAGGTAGCGAAGAAATGTGTATCTGGCGTTTAAAGAAGCTGCCTTTTGGAGTGAATTGTTCTCCTTTCATACTTAGTGCTGTGCTGCGCTTTCATCTCGATAGTGCATTCGAGTCTGCTTCTGCTGCTGAGCGTGATATCATAGAGCTGCTGCTGCGTAGTTTTTATGTTGATGATTGCGTTTCTAGCTTGCCATGCTGTGCGGATGCTGAAAAGCTGCAGGAGTATAGCGTTAATGTTTTGCAGGGAGCAGGCATGGAGTTGCGGAAGTGGCGAGGGAACACGATGACCTCAGACCCCGAGGCTGGTTCCAAGGCACTGGGTATTGTGTGGAACACCGAGTCAGATTGTATTTCGGTGGCTGCGCTCGGTGATGTTGAGTGTCCCAAGGAAGTGTCTGGTTGGTCTCGTCGTGCGTTGTTGCGTTGTGTTGCCGCTGTGTTCGATCCGCTAGGTTGGGCGTCACCCGCAGTTGTGCCAGGCAAGATGATGTTGCAAGAGAGTTGGAAGCTCGGCGGTGGTTGGGATGACCCATTCCCTATTGATTTGGCTGTCCGATGTGCTTCATGGTGGGGAGAGCTCGCAGCGCTTTCTTCCGTTAAAATCCCCAGATGGATCGGGTGTACTCCAGATGCTCCAGTCACGTTGCATGTATTCTCAGATGCATCCGAGAAGGGCTATGGCTGTTGTTTCTATGTTGTGTCCGGTTTGACGTCTTCTTTGTTGTGTGCGAAGGCGAAGGTTGCACCTGTTGTACGTCCCACTCTTGCGCGTCTGGAATTGTCGGCTGTGTGTCTTGGCGTGAAGATGTTGTCCTTTGTCGTCAAGGAATTGAGAGTGCCAATTGAAAGGATTGTGGGGTGGACAGACAGCCTAACCACATGGCACTGGATCTCAAAGCCGTCGTATCACTGGAAGACGTATGTTGCTAATCGAGTTGCTGCAGTGCAAGAAGTTTCGCAGAAGCTGCAAGTAGAATGGCGTCACTGTCCAGGAGTTAGCAACCCTGCAGATCTTGTCTCGCGTGGTGTCTCAGTGTGTGACTTGCAGAAGGAGATGTGGCTGCATGGTCCGTCATGGTTGAGCGATGAGTCTCAGTGGCCACCAGTCATCTCGTTTCAGAGCACCAATGAGTCCGTCACCGAAGCACGCGTGTCGGCTGTGGAGGTTGACACTCCAGTTGTTTGGCCGTGGGAGAAGTTCTCCAAGTGGCAACGAGCTCGCGGTTTGGTCGCAAGTATGCTGTCATGGCGACACAAGGGTGTTTCGCGTGCAGAATTGATTCCATCTGCTGAGTCTGTGATGTTTCGCGCCATCCAAGAGCAATGCTTCCCCAAGGAGTTGTCCCAGTTGCGGAGCAAGGAGCCACTGAAGAAGGGTTCGAAGCTGTTCAAGTTGTCTCCGTTTCTGGATGAAGCTGGTTTGCTCAGAGTTCGTGGTCGTCTGCAGGAGAGCGATCTGTCCTACGAGGTTCAGCATCCGATCATCCTGGGCAGATGTCATCTAAGTGAGTTGTTTCTGCGTGATGCTCACCTTCAGCGAATGCACCAGGGTGTAGAGAGCGTGCTTGCGTTTCTACAACAGCAGTTCTGGATTCTCGGAGCTCGTCGGTTTCTTCGTAGCGTGTCGGAGAAGTGCATTGTTTGCCGCAGATTTCGCGCACAGACTGCTGCTGAGGAGATGCCGCCGTTGCCCTCAGACAGGGTGAAGCACCACCAGCCATTCGGTCTCACAGGTATTGATTATGCAGGTCCGTTGTACGTGCGCAGTTCATCAAATGTTCAGAAAGTGTGGGTCGCACTCTTCGTGTGCGGTACTACTCGCGCAGTGCACCTAGAGCTCGTGGATAGCCTGTCGACAGAGGTGTTCCTGCTAGCATTGCGTCGTTTCATCGCCCGTCGTGGGAAGCCGCTGCGTATACGTTCAGATAATGCTACGACGTTCAAGTCCGCCGCAGACAAGGTGGCAATCCCGTGGTTCTTCAATCCGCCATCTGCCCCGTGGCATGGAGGGTTCTATGAGCGTCTGGTGGCATGTGTGAAAGCTCCCTTGAAGAAGGTTCTCGGTCGAGCGTCATTGAGTCGAGATGAGCTGTTCACTGTCTTGACGGAGATCGAGAGAGTCGTCAACTCTCGACCCCTCACTCCGGTTTCTACGGATGTAGCTGACGAGTCGCCGCTGACTCCAGCCATGATGTTGGGAGACATCTTTGCAACCGGTATTGCCTCGTCTGACAGACCACTCGATCCACGGCAGTTGTCCGCTCGAGTCAAGTATGTCCACACCGTCTACGAGCACCTCAACCAGCGTTGGTCGTCTGAGTATCTCATTCGTCTCAGTGAGTATCATCGGTCGAAGTCAACTCCGATTGTCGTGAACGACGTTGTGTTTATTGCCGACGACAACCGGAAGCGGCAATCATGGCGCTTGGGTAGGGTCGCAGAGCTGTATCCTGGAAGAGATGGCAAGTGCAGGGTGGCCAAAGTCCAAGTTGGCCAATCGTCCATGCTACGGCCCATTCAACGCTTGGTTCCGTTGGAAGTAGCGAAGGAGCATGCTGAGCCGCAGCCGCAGACACCCGCGAGCGCTGATCCAGTCAACGTCGTCGATGATGTTGAAATACCTTCGACGACCGTTGAACCGCAAGTTACGCGTCGATCTCGTCGTACCGTTCGACCACCACCTCGTCTTGATTTGTGATCAGTGTGGTTGAAGCCCTTTGGTGGGGAGAATGTTGTGTATCGTGTCGGAGAAAGGTCTTCTGGGGTGTCGTCGAGATCTCGTTGCGACCGTGACTCCTGCTTGTCTCCCTGGCTAGGTGCTGCTTGCTTTGCTTTTCTGCGTAGTGTTTTTGATTATTGTTTACTATTGCGTATTGTTAGTGTTCGTTGTGATTTGGTACAGTACTTGTTACGAGATACGACACATTGTGTAGTGTGTGTTTGCAGCACAAAGAAGACTGCTCACCAGAACGGTTAGCTCAGGAGCTTGGGCTTACCTTGTGCAATCACAGGTCATCAGCTTGGACATTGCGCTTGGTCCCATGCGAATAACCGACTAGAATAGTAATTATTTCTTCGTTGCATTTTTGAATTGTGTTCTTGCTAGCTCGTTGATTTATTTCGTTGATGTGTTGATTTGTGTTTGATTACTTATTTATTTGATGCGCGATTTATGTGCGCTGATTGCGTGATGGCATGCAATTATGATCATGCTTGCGCCAGCTAGCTAGATGCCTGCGCCGCGCACTGATGTTGAATGAGTTAGCATGCGCCCCGCGCTGTTCATGCATATATGGTACATGGTGTGTAATGTTTGCCGCACACGCGTATAGGTGCCGCGCCTCGTACTGCTCATGTGCCTCGCGCCGTACTATTGCTGTCGCTTTGCCAAATTTAGCTTCCGCTTTCTGAGCGCTGTACGCTCTTCTGTACGCTCATGCCAAAGGTGGACACACGTTGTGGCTGGCCAGCGCTTTACCCCTCATGCGTTGTTCTTTTCCTTGATGCTGTGGTTTGTTTTTCTTTAGTGTTCTAGAGTTCTCTTTCCGATGTAGTTCGTATTTTTCCAGTCTCTTCTTCTCAATGTATTCTACTGTTCGTTCATTATAGTCCGTAAAGAATTACGTGACCTTTTGTCTTGTGGCGTCTGTGCGATCCTGAAACTTTTGAGGTGTTAGTAGTGAACACAACACATACCAACAGATCCATGTCAAACACACACACACACACACACACACACACACACACATCGGCAACACCGTAGAAGGATGAATGTTGCTCTCTTTCTACATACCCTTAGGTGCAATGGCTATTGAATACTCAAGTAGCCACTTGGATGTATCTCTATTAGTTTTGTTGATAACTATTCCAAGCTGCATGAAATTCCTCCATTACTAACCTGAAAATGTGTTTTTGTGCCTGATTTTGCTTTGGCCTGTGCTGCAGCTACTTCTGCTGCCGTTGCTGAGGCACGTCAGGCGAAATAGCACGTCATACTACATTCGAGATCAGCGGGAAGAAGATGACGACGTCCACTAATTTAGTATCTGTGCACACGAATCTGCTGTGTGTGTTACTCTGTGTGTCAGCTATGGCATCATCGCCTGTGGTTCCATGCCTAGCATGTACGTCTGAACCATCCTGCACAGTTTGAATGACGTAGGTTGAGCGATCGCTCCGCGAAACATACTTTTTGAAATTCTCTTCATAGTATATCTTCCACCATTGAAATTTCGAATTTCTTCGAATTTTTTGCTGAGAGGGGTGGCTTGCAACCTCGATATGGCTTGTTCCAGGCATGCTTTGGAGCCATCGCCTGTTGAAGTAGTGGCGGGGATCTGCCCTGCAACTGCTACAACAAAAATGATTCGATCTGAGAAAGGGTGAGACCGCGAATCTCGGTTGAATATTGAGTATTTCAAGCCTTTTCACGACGAAGATGGAGTTCTTTTTGGAGATGGACGTCGCGGCAAAAGACATGGTGTCCGACTTCTGGGGTCTGGTGAAGCCAGGGATCATTTGTCCAGTCAGGTCGGCAGCCTAACCGTCGGTAAGCTTGTGTTTGGATCCCGTTCTGCTCGATGTGGTAGATCATAAACAATTTGATATCGCACAAATTGATCTCAGCATCGTGCGTACGGTATTTTATATTCAGAAAATCCCAAAGTGTCTCTGTGTGGCTGTCCTATGCCACGAGAAACTCCAATCAGGCTCCTAACCTTATGTCCTCTGCCTTCATGATTGAATGTCTACTTCGTTTGAACAACGAACACAACAATCGAGGACGGCTTTGCAATGAAAAATACAGCTATACTGGAGCTGAAAAAAAGAAGAAAAAAACGTGCTCAGGATGAGACTCGAGTACGCGCATACTCTCCCAGCAGGTGAAACGCAAATTTTTGTGAAAAATGCGTGTCGCCGACTGACCAGTAATTTTGCCTGACGATCTGTGGCTTCTGCTTGTGGTGTTGCGACGTATTGGCGCTGCAGTCTTGGATCACACTGACTTATACCATGATGATATACCAGAGAGCTGCAGGTAAGCCACATAGAAGATCATGAGCAGCGTCGGTCACAAACAGATATACCAAATAGGTTTGCTCTCAAATACAAAGCGTATCGTACACTAGCAAATCTGACTGAAACATTCCAATTTGGCAAAGTCAACATGTAACATTATATACGTGACCGCCAATAATAAAACCAAAAAATCACAAAATCATGAATTTCACTACAAAAAAGCTGTCAAGAGTTAGTAAATTAGGCCAAACACATTGATATGGAGACAGAGCATTCTGAAATATAATTCCTGGCTCTCCATCCGATTTCAAAATTATTTTTGCTTAAATCGATCCCAGGTCCGCACTGAACTCAGCAGGGGAAAAATCCGAAAAATCGAATGCTGCCGGGACATCTTACCTGATGAGGTTTCTCTGTTCTTTCTCCACCTCATTCTTGGACAGCCTCATATTAGCCACAGTGGCAAGAGTGTGCTGCACGTCGCTTAGAGATTCCAGGCACTCCTGCACTTTGGCATCAAATTCTCTGTGCATTCGTTCACACATCTGCTCCAATTCCATCTTGGTGGTTTCAACGTGATCCTTCACTCTGCGTAGAAGGAAGGAATGTCAAAAGAAGGACCAAACAGGTACAGTTAGCGCATGGATAGTATCCGGTTCGAAGCAGAAGCATGTTGGCAAACCCCATTTTCACGAATTTGGTGGGTCAACCTTTTTAGAAATAAGATCCGGCCATGGCCGGACTGGCCGGACAGGGTGCTATGGCCCTGCGGTTAGTGCCCTGTTAGTACCGTGTTTAGTACCTGGCTAGCACACGGTTAGTACCCAGCTAGTGCCCTGGTAGTGCCCTGGTAGTACCCGGTTAGTACCCGGTTAGTGCCAGGTTTGTACCCAGTTAGTACCAGGTTAGTACCCGGTTTGTACCCGGTTTGTACCCGGTTAGTATAATACACGGCCGCTAGCTCAGTGCCCGTGCATGCAGATCTTGCAAGCTCAGTACTGCATCTCCTGGTGAAACTGAGCACTTTTCATCTATTCCTCTGCCGTCAGCCGGTCCCTATACCGATCTCTCTCTCTCTCTCTCTCTCTCTCTCTCTCTCTCTCTCTCTCTTTCTTCACTCACACACACACACACACACACACACACACACACACACACACACACACACACACACACACACTCTCTCTCTCTCTCTCTCTCTCACTCATTCACTCACTCTCTCACTCACTCACTCACTCACTTTCTCTCTCTCTCTCACACACACATATACACACACACACACATACACGCAACACACACACACACACACACACACACACACACACAACACACACACACACACACACACTCACACACACACACACACACACACACACACACGCACACACACAAACACACACACACGCACTCTCTCTCTCTCTCTCTTCTGGCTACAATCCGGCATCATTCATCCGTTGGAACTTAAAATCCGTTAACACCAGCTTAGTCAATTAAATCTATCGATACTTTACTTGTTCTCAACCTTCACTGATGAGACCAAAAGTATATAAACCAGAGTGTGCAACTCAGGATGGTTCCTGTGGGAGCGTAATCAGTGCAGTATGTCATTCCTGACGGCATGGTAAGCCACAGTTACTGTGAAAAGTTGTGTACCAGTCAGTCACGGGCCTGCAGGTCACTGAGTTTGTCCTGATTTCGGTTTTTTGATGCGGATAGCCTGGTGAATTTACTTGTCAGTGGATGTACGCACACAAAAACACCGAAATTCTGAAACAGGACGTCGAAAATCAAGCAAACTTGGCTGATTTCCGGGCTATGAAACATGAAAATTTGAGCTGTACGCAAGTCGCGGCTTGGCTGACCTCATCAGGGTGACGTAGTGCACGAACTGCGCTGTTTCAGATCTGATATGCACAGTCAGTTGCTCACTCTGGTTTATGTACTCTTGATGACACCTATAGTGGTCTAAACAGCGCTGTATGGAGGAAAAACTATTTGTCGGCATCTACAATAGGGGCGAAAGTTGGCAATGAGATCCCGAGTTTGAGTACTCTGATTTTCTCCGATCGAATATTCGAGTATTCTTCACCTCCTAAAAAGTGCACACCAAGGGCCTTAAAATCACATGACACAACCCTGATTGAACCGAGAAGCAGTCATTTTTCTCGGGAATATTGGTTGGTGGGTCATTTGGGCTCTCTCTACTCGTGAACGAATATTCACTACACAGTCTGCACATCAATATCTGCCGACTGCTGCCCTGAAACTGCAGATTTCTATGGTAAATGCATGTACATGTACCATGTATGAACGAGTACTCTGATTTATTCCGAGTACGATTATTTAAAAAAAAAAAACGAGCGAGTACTCGAGTATTCGGTATAATTGTTTCACGCCTAATCCACAACTTGGAGTCATGTTGCTGGTGTGTGAGGTCGGCCAGAGAGCGCGTTTGGTGGAAGTGGAATTACTTTATTGATGCTTTACTTATCCATACATCTTCACTCTCCAAACGGTCTCTGGGCTACACCAATCACTAAAAGAAAAATGAATTTTTGCGAGCGCGCAAAAATAAGTTAACACAGAAGGGCGCATGCGCCGCACCGGACACTTCACAGTTTGCTTCCTGCTCAGATTTTCATGGCTGACTGGTGACTCTCTTCAAAGATTTCACAGTTTCTCTCTCTCTCTTTCTGCCACGAGGCTCTGTACGAGGAAGCAGACGTGGACGCGGACGCGGGTATGCCATTGAGGCTACCCGCCGCTTGGGTAGGGCTTCGACCTTGCCATACGCGTGGACTGAGGGCATGCGCGCCTTTGCGCCTGATACCTCCGACACACCGTCAGCAGCTAGTTCTCACCCCACTCCGGGCACCGAAGCCTCTATGCAAGACGAGCCCTCATTGCTCTCCCCGGACATCATTTCCTCGGTCGTGATGAACGCCCTCCACCCTCGAGCGCGTGGAACGCCTGGAGAACAGTGCTGAGTCTGGAAGCCGATCTCTCCCACGCTCGCGCTTCGCACCTGAAAGATCGCTCCCACGCTCGGAGCGTCAAGCTCCGGACCCATCCTGCCCGGAACTTCCAGTTCTGTCGGAACCACCGACTTTGCCAGGACCTCCAGTTCTCTCCGAGCCCTCGGTTCTACCCACACCGCCACGTAGCGCAATTGAAAAAATCCAGCGGGGAGAGTTTGTGGAACTTGAGGAGCTCTTGCCGGAAAACTTCAGCTCCCAGGGACAGGAGCCAATACAACTGGTTACAGCTGGCGGCGACACGACTCAGCTCTGGCTCAACCTCAGCGCAAAGCACAAGCGCGCGATCAACGACTTCTCGGCTTGGCTGGAGGCCTGGACAATCTACATGGGCATCGTCGTTCGTGCTCGTCCTGACCGAGCTCATGAGCTCGTCTGCTATCAGCACATACTTTGTACTGCGAACCAACAGTTCACGACGGCTGCCGTGCTGAACTATGATCGAGCATTTCGCCAACACACCACCAGCATGGCACTGCGCTGGGACATGATCAACCAGACGCTGTGGAGTATTCACCTACTTCGCTCACCCCGTCCGTCGTGCACCAAATGCACGCTCCAGCACAGCCGCGACCGCTGTCCACATGCCGCAGCTCAACACGCGCAGCCCTTTCCAACAGTGGCGGGCAACACCCGCCAGGTCTGTTTTAACTTCAACCACGGCAGGCCATGCTCCCGCACACCCTGCGACCGTCTCCACGCCTGCAGCTCCTGTGGAGACAAAGGACATGCCGCCACATCCTGCACCAGCACCACCCGCTTCAGGTGGCAGCGCCCTGCAGATAGCCACGAGAAGACGTCTAAGCCCACTGAGAAAAAGTAAGCCGACTTCCACTCCCCTGAACACTGTTCGCTTTCACACATTACTGCCACGTATATCTGACCAAAATCTTGCTGAGTTTGTTTTACACGGGCTGGACCATGGCTTTAATGTTGGACACTCTGGCACTATGCAGTCCCTGTTCTCTGATAGTCTTTCTTCTGCACGTGAACAACCTTCCTCTGTTGACGACCACATTGCTGGTCGTATTCGCGCCGGCGAATCTGCCGGCCCATTTTCTGTCCCACCCTTTGATGTTTTTGTTTCCTCACCCCTCGGCGTTGTCCCCAAGAAAAACGGGAAACTCCGTCTGATCCACCCTTTGTCTTATCCCAATGACCAGTCCGTGAATGACGGCATAGACAAAGACACATTCTCTCTTCAGTACGTCATGGTGGACGACGCCATAGACCTCTTATGCATGCATGGTCCAGGCACACTTATGGCTAAGCTGGATATCCGTAATGCATTTTGCCTAGTACCCGTGGACCCAGCCTGTTATTATCTGCTAGGTTTTCAGTGGCGTGATCAATTCTATTTTGACAAGGTCCTGCCCTTTGGCCTGCGGTCAGCCCCTTATCTGTTCAACTGTATTGCTGATGCTGTAACGGAATCACAGCCATTCCGTTCCCCGGGACGCAGGACACAAAGGACAAGACTAGTTTGGTTTACATAATTATTATTGACATTACGGAAATGGAGACAACACTCAAAGGGACGAACAAGAAGACTGACAAAAGGACTCTCGACTACAACATCGCGCATGCTCATATCACACATGCACGCGACTAGACGAGACAGTTTGGGGAATGCCATCACACAGGAAAACAACACATCATTTCACAACACCTGCCCCCTTGATGACATTCCACAAAATAATAAACCGACACCACGTTCCACATGCACAACAGCAAAAGGAACCACAGCAGAACAGAAAAACGAAAACCAACCATCAACCTAGAGCCGACGCTCTACAACCAGGCCACGCCACACAAGGCCAACCGAAACATGGGAGCCGAAGCTCCAACTAAATAATATTATAACATGCGCACAGCCGCACCAAATAAATCTACAACAAAAACAATGGAGAACAACAGAACGAATAGAAGAGCAACATACCGACAACCAAACTCAACAACACAGCAACGAACTGAACAGCGAGAGAAACATGATCAGACAATTAAGCGAGCAAGACAACAACAAGACGAACAATAAAGGACGACACACAGTCGGTGATGCCAGACTCATCCACTGGCCTCTGGCGAGCCACGGCCACACGCTCCATGCGGTACCTGCCGTCCCAGGCTCCAGTCCCCAGCTTCTGCCGGTCCACCACCTTCTCTGCCTCCTCTCCGCGTCTTCTTCCGCTTCCACCAGCTCCTCGTCTCTCCTCCATCCCCACGCTTACTCTCTAGTTGTACTATTACTTGTATTAGTTGTTGACGACGACGAACAGACTCGTGACAAACTTACTCATCCTCTGCGTCCCGGGTTTCGGCACCACGTTGTAGTGGAACCCACGTTCGACCAGCCAGCACTAACGCAACACTTCGGATTAGGGAATGAATTATTTACAAGAGAATTGGAAGAGACATAGAAGTTAGAAGTAAGTTATCAGAACCAGACTGAAGCACACTGAAGAACGCTAGGTGGAACCGGCGTGTCCCATCTGTCCACTGCACTTGATAGCCGCTTCAACATTGAGCAGGCTGGGCGAAGCCATGCGCACACTG